AACTCCGGGAAAAAACCTCCCCCCGCCCCCAAAAAAACCCCCCCCCCCCCCCACACACACACACACACTTCCAGGTGCCAATGGAACAAGATAATCAATGTTATTCAGTTCACCTCTCAATGATCATAATGTTATGGCTGGTAGGTGTATACTGTATGTAATTGTTTTACTTTTGCCCTTCATTCTACTTTTGGAAAAAAACATATAGGACTATACACTGTATATAAAAAATAATGCATCTCCCTTGGTAATGATTGCCTATATCTGTCTAAAAAGACAGTTAATTAGGACAAAAGCTTTCCTATATTTACTAAATTTTCCCTATCAGAAGAGGTCATTTGTAATTCATTCAATCTATTAAACTTGGTAAAATGATGGAAATCTGGGAACTTACAGCAGATGAGTGATGTCTCTCTTTGTGTGATTTCTTCAGGGCTTCTAGGCTTGAAAATGAGGTTTTGTCTGTAGTTGGGCCTGTGAAAAGACAATACTAGTAGAAGTACAACAAAGCCCTTCTAATTAATATTTATGACAAATTAACATGTCAATTGCTTTATATCCGTTCATGAATATAAAGTGGCCCATACATAAACCCTGCTGTGATATTACAGTTAGTTGGAAAATTACCTTACACTGTGACAAATGTACATCACTGATCAGATGTGAATAATGAACATCATATATGGTCAGTTCAGCGTGCAGCTTGTGTTCACAGAAATGATCGGCAGAGCTAAGCTGTATTTTCCAGAAGGGTTAGCAGAGGTCATGCAGAGCTCATAGAGACAGTTCAATTCTCCATCAAGCAATAGGCGTATGAAGATGTGAATGGAGACTTATAACAAGATCCCAAACACTAAAAGTATAACACTATGGGGTCGATTTTTAAACGATTCGCAGAGCCATTAGCCCTGCCAGTCTCTGAACATTCATTCTGTGCGACTAGAGGCAAAAAGGAACAAATTTTCTTAGTAAATTTTCTTTTCAAGTTGAATGTAACCTCCATTATTACTAGATGGAGCTGTGGAGCATAGAAAAAAAATAAAAAATTCCTATGCTCCTCAGCTCCATTTAGTGGCCATTATGTAGTATTTTTCAATTATTACATTCGACCTTAAAGTGACAATAAACTCAGGAGTTAAATCTTCAAAAAGCATCTTCAAAAAATTACAAAAATTTATTTTATTTGTGTATCACTTGGCTGTAGATCCCCAAATCATCTCTGAATTGGTGCGAACACTGTCCTTCCTTCTGGAGGATGGCTACTTCTGTTCCCCATGGTCCCTGTGTGTGTTGTAAAGCAGCCACCGCTCCAAACTCACTCCCGTGATGGACTACAATTTCAACACAAATTAGTCATCTAAACATGAGATTGTAGCCTTTCACAGGAGCGAGCTTGGAGCGGTGACTACTTTACAACACACACAGGGACCATGTTCCACAGGGAACAAAAGTAGCCACCTTCCAGAAGGAAGGACAGTGTCAGCACCAATTCAGAAATGATTTGAGGATTTACAGCCGAGTGATACACAAATAAGATAAATTTTTGTTAATAGTTAAGGTGCTTGTATGCATTTTAAGGATACAACTCCTGGGTTTAGTGTCCCGACTAAGAATGTTTGCCTTTGCCTCTGTCCAGTGCCTTCCGGGTTGAATGACAATGAGATATGAGCATCATGGATCCCACCCCCTGTGGGGTGTCATCACGGTGCTGTGCACTGTTGCAGATGCTGCAAATGATCAAGTAAGGCATGGGGGGGGGCTAAATTGGGAATTTAAATCAAACCTGGGCACTTTAAAGTGGGCATATAACAAAAACGAGCACAAGCAAAGGAAATCTTCAGAGAAAGCCACACATCAAAACAATTCGGATCAATAGTTAGCCTTACGGTGAATCCTAACTTTACTATTAAAGGAAAATAATATTTGCTGATAATTTTCACACGCATTTTATTGTACAGATTAATTTGAGAAATAATCTCAGGAAAATCTGGAGGAATGGGCTTTATTCAAGTCTCCAGCGGTATACAAGTCTCACATACCTGTATAAGTCACTTTATGGAATGTCATTCCTGTGATCTCATTTCTACTGGTTTTAATCGGCTCAGCACCCAACCAACAGGTTCCTTCTGCATCTGAGCCGTCACACCGCACCCACAATTGAGGTAAGACGTCCACCGGTTTCCCATTCCTCAGTTCACCCACGTTGGGGTTGTGCGTCAAAGTGTAACTGGAAAGTAGCTGTCTACAAAAGGTAACACACTTACTAAACGTAATTGGTAAATGCTGTAATTGAGAACAATAAACGTTATGTACAATCCTGTGTGGGCACAAGAAATGGCAAAAAGTATTTTACGGACTGTAATCACGTAAGGTGGCCATACACTAGTAGATTTTCAGTCAAAATTTTTTGTTTCCGTCGTGAACCCTTGTATGATTATAGCTCGAATACCCCATCAAGCATAGTCAAATGTCGATTTTGTAAATCGTTCGTTAGCCAAACTAATTCATTTCTGACAAACAACGGAAATAAAAAATTTTTGCGCATGTGCTGGGTTCCTGCAGAGATTTTTGACGAACAAAAACCCTACAGATTCATCGACTTTCAATCGGTCAGAGAAACATTTTCAAACCTGGCCGATCGAAAGATTTCGATCACAATACCGAAAACGAAAATCGGTGATGTACCAGCAACTGTTTGATTTTCGTTCAAAAGACTGTTCGGTTTCCGAATGAAAAACGTACAATATATATGGCCACCAATACTTTCAAATAAAATGTACACATCTGACCCAGCTACACCATGGATGACTGGTTCCGTCTAGGTTCCAAATAAGTGGAAGCAGGAATTTTCTCAAAGGCAGATACATCAGTTGAACATGCTATACGGAGAACCCATGGTGTATGCAAAGCAAAGTGATGGAACAGTGACAAATCATTGTATCAATGCAAATACTCACTGATGTTTTATTCAATAAATACAATTACAAATTGCTACTGAGCATAAAAAGCATACAGGCCCCAAAACGATCAAATACCTACAGGTGAAACTCGAATAATTAGAATATCGTGCAAAAGTAATGGCAGTAGGTGCTGCAAAAGGGGCCCAAACCAAGTACTGAGTACATATGCATGCTTAGGGCTAGTCATACTTATGTGCACTGACCAAATTAAGTGGTCGATATACTGTATACACACGTCAGATTTGGCTAGCTTTTCGCATTGCTGTTAAAGGAGGGTTTACAACCAAATTCTCATAGAATTCTTTGATGTACAACCTCATTTAAGTGTTGGCGAGTGAGAAGTGGGTTGAAAAAGACAGGAGAGCATGAGCCATGAATACACAAAAGCGGGGGCCGAATCAGCAGTATGAATGGAGAAAGAAGAATGAAGCATACGCTGAAGAGAACACTCTGCCTACAGTTAAGCATGGTGGTGGCCCAGTGATGCTCTTGGGCTGCTTTGCATCCTCTGGCAGTGGAAACCTCCAGCGTGTGGAATTTATTGAAGTATCGGGAGATCCTACAAGAAAATATCATGCTGTCTGTGCGGAAGCTGAAGCTTGGGCGTCATCGGACCTTCCAACAGGACAGCGATCCCAAGCTTACCTCATATTCCACCAAGGCTCGGTTGCAGAAGAAGTCCTGGAAAATTCTACAGTGGCCATCACAGTTACCTGACCTGAACCCCATAGAAAATCTCTAGTGGGAGTTGAAGAAGGAGGTTGCAGCATGCCAACCCAAGAATATTCGTGAACTGGAGGCCATTGCTCATGAGGAACGGCAAAGAATCCTCAGGAACTCTGCCAGAAGCTGGTGTTTGGCAATGCATCTCCTTTTATTATTATGATAATAAACCAGAAGAGCTACAGCCTGCACAGGATGAATGCCATAACAAAATAAAAGCCATTCTACAGGCCAGCCATGTTCCCCAATTCAGATTAACAGAAAAGTAAACCATGACATCACAGAAGTATGAATACCTGGCTTTCATGGAGGACAGTGGCAATGGAAGACAGGACTGCTCCACGGGAACATTGAATGAATGGCTGTCACTGCTCTGGGATTCGTCCAATAACTCTTCATCTGCCTTAAAAGGCTGGAAAAGAACAGGAAATATAGATCATTTAAATGTGCTTATTGTTCTCAAACATGAATACATCATCTTGTTCTCATGGCACCGTACCTTTCCCTCCATAACAAAAGCCATTTCACTTCCACCCCAGAAGTCATTAAGTGACTTGCATTGACCTGGTCTAACCAAATGAACCTGCAGGTCATCCTTGAATAAAAAAAGAACAGTTTGGTCAGACTACATCTGAAAGCATCACTACGAGAACAATAAAAGTGTTTGTGGTGACTTGTAACATATTACTTTGTTATCTCATATTTTTCATGGAAATGTTATGTAGCTACAAAATATTATGTTGCTGGTAAGGACAACACTAATCTGTACCCATGAGTGACTGCTGCGAGGACATGAAGCACAGCACAAACTATGTGCAACGTTGGTTGGATGGGGTTTTGCTCAGAAACTCTTTTTGTACTGTCACAGCCATTGCTATTTCTGCTATAGCCATTACACAACTTTGTATTGCATATTATTATGCTGTGGCACTTGAAACAAATCACTTATATAGCCAATTATTTTCTTACATAGTTACATAGTATTTGAGGTTGAATAAAGACATACTGTATGTCCATCAAGTCCAACCTTGTGTGTGTGTGTGTGTGTGTGTGTGTGTGTGTGTGTGTGTGTGTGTGTATAGGTCCTTGAGTCATCTCGTTATTAGGAGTACCTGTACCCCTGTATATTACCGTCTCTCAGGAAATCGTCCAAAAGCTTCTTGAATGATTCCACACTATTAGCTGAAATCACTGCTTGTGGCAATTTCTGAAACCCAAATGAGGTTCCAAACAATTTGGGCATTCACTAATTGGTGTAGGACCACCGCACCTACAGTGGCACTTTATAAGAAATGTTAGGGTGTTTTTGCACACACACAAATACACACACCTCTAAAAACACTATATTGCCAAAAGTATTAGGACACCCCTCCAAATCATTGGATTCAGGTTTTCCAATCACCTCCGTGGGCACAGATGTATAAAATCACGCACCTAGGTATGCAGACGCTTCTACAAACATTTGTGAAAGAATGGGTCGCTCTCAGGAGCTCAGTGAATACAAGCGTGGTACTGTGATAGGCAAGTCCATCCGTGACATTTCCTTGCTACTAAATATTCCATGGTCACCTGTAGGTATTATAACAAAGTGGAAGCAACTGGGAACAACAGCAACTCACCACCAAGTGTTAGGCCACGTAAAATGACAGCGCGGGGTCATCGCATGCTTCTGAACACAATCGCGGCTAAAACAGCCACATGTCGTGTATCAGAAAAAAAACGTACAAGTACCTTTTTTTCTGCGATACACAACGCGTGGCTGTTTTTTAGCTGCGGTCGTGTTCAGAAGCACAGGCGGAATCAGCGGCGGGAAACTGCGCTATCCGGCCGGCGTGACTAGGGTGCCATTGGAAAAAAAATGGCA